CCAGGTCTAAACCAGGACTAAATCAGGTCTAAACCAGGACTAAACCAGGTCTAAACCAGGACTAAACCAGGACTAAACCAGGTCTAAACCAGGACTAAACCAGGACTAAACCAGGACTAAACCAGGTCTAAACCAGGACTAAACTAGGACTAAACCAGGACTAAACCAGGTCTAAACCAGTACTAAACCAGGACTAAACCAGGTCTAAACCAGGACTAAACCAGGTCTAAACCAGGACTAAACCAGGTCTAAACCAGGTCTATACCGGGACTAAACCGGGTCTAAATCAGGACTAAACCAGGTCTAAACTAGGTCTAAACCAGGTCTAAACCACGTCTAAACCAGGACTAAACCAGGTCTAAACCAGGTCTAAACCAGGTCTAAACCAGGTCTAAACCAGGTCTAAACCAGGAACTAAACCAGGTCTAAACCAGGACTAAACCAGGTCTAAACCAGGTCTAAACCAGGTCAAACCAGGTCTAAAACCAGGACTAAACCAAAACCAGGTCTAAACCAGGTCTAAACCAGGTCTAAACTAGGTCTAAACCAGGTCTAAACCCTAAACCAGGTCTAACTAAACCAGGACTAAACCAGGTCTAAACCAGAGGTCTAAAAGGTCTAAACCAGGTCTAAACCATGTTGTGTGGACCGTATCTTCTCCTCTTCTATCAATAATATTTTTAATTTGGTTCAGTAAAGTTTGGACTTTTTTATTTTCTTTTATCAGACAAAAATTCTTATGTGAAGATTTCCTCGTCTTTGATTCTCTACAACAAATCAAGTAATCCAAAGTAATCAGATTACAATACTCACTTTAAGTAATTTAATGGATTACGTTACAAACTACATTTTGGTGTATGTAATCTGTAATCTGTAGGGGATTACATTTTAAAAGTAACGTTCCCAACACTGTTTATAAAAGCGTTAAAACTTCATAATCGCAGAGTTATTACGGAGATCGGACCGGAGACCGCTCAGGCAAAAATAAGCGCACCTCGACATCTCCACGAAAACACGCAGCGCCCGATTTAATCACTGAAATGAACATAAACACAAACCTTTGACGATAAATCAGCTACTTAAAAACACGCCGGGCTGAAAACAAGTCGATTTAAACAGTTTCAGAGCAAATTCACGGAGTCCTGTTTTATTTTTCCATGATGGGTCAAAACAACACGACACTTCCGGGTGCGTCGAATATTTTGGACCGGTTTTTATGTTTTTTTTATTCAGAACTGCGAAAAAAAAAATTAATAATAATCGCATTTAAATATAATAATAATAATAATAATAATAATAATAATAATAATAATAATAATAATAATAATAAAATAAATAGTGTTTTGAAGTTTACTTTTAAAATGTATTCCCTTACAGATTACAGATTACATACCTCAAAACAACAATACCTCAACGTTTGTAACGTAATCCATTAAATTACTTAAAGTGAGTAAGTAATTTAATGTAAGTAATATGTAAGTAATCTGAATACTGTGGATTATTTCATATTGTCATGCCTTTTAAAACGACATGGAAAATTCATGTTTGTTCTCTTCAAATTGGCCCTGGTTTAATCCTGGTTTGGTCCTGGTTTAGACTTGATTTAGTCCTGGTTTAGTCCTAGTTGAGTTCGTAATAAATGACAAAAAATTTAGGAAATGATGATGGTGAAAATATTATTAGTTTAAGTATAGGGCCATTTTATTTTATTTTATTTTACTTTATTTAAATTTATTTAAATGTATTTAAATTTATTTTATTTTATTTTATTTTATTTCACTTCACTTTATTTTATTTATTTATTTATTTAAAAATGGGAGAGAGAAAAGAGAAAAAAGAGAGGAGGGTTTTTCTTGTTGCTGCTGCTGTTGTTGTTGTTTTGTATTTGTTGTGGGTGTTGCTTTATGTTTTTGTCTTTTGTTTTATGCTGATTATTGTAATTGTTAAATGTTAATCGTTGTATTATTATTATTATTTTTTATGTTACGTCGCGTTGTCCTTAATTAAAAATAAAAAATAAAATAAAAAACGCATTAAAATAAATCAATTTACAGATAAAATTACGTCAATAATTTATGAAAATATTTAAAATTACACACACACACAAAAATCTTAAACTGTAACGGCAACGCTGGTTCGGACAGTTTGCTCGTGCTTGTTTCCGCCCGGACCGTCTCAGCGTCGCACCGGTAGGCACCGCATCGGTCACGTGTGTTTTGAAAAGTTCGTCTCATGGATTTTTTTGGCGTTTAATTCAAAAGTAAAACGGCTCCAGATCGCGTTTTTTTCTCGTTTATTTCCGGTCGTTTGCTTTGGTGTTCGCTGCCGTCCGTCCGTGTTGAGTTGTAACGTTTTTCGGGGTGTTTTGGTGCGTTTTCGGCGTGTTTCGGTGCGTTTTTTGCGGTTTTCGACATGGTTTTCTTCACGTGCGGCGCGTGCGGAGAATCTCTGAAAAAAGCGCAGGTGGAAAAACACGTGACCCTGTGTCGAGGCTGCGAGGTCCTGTCCTGCATCGACTGCGGCAAAGACTTTTGGTAAAAACAACAAAAACAAACAAAACATCTGGAAATAGTTTAGTTTTTCTGCGGGTTTCGTTTAAATTTGCAGCTCTAAGTAAAACCGTTTAGACCTGGTTTAGTCCTGGTTTAAATCTGGTTTAGTCCTGGTTTAGTCCTGGTTTAGTCCTGGTTTAGTCCTGGTTTAGTCCTGGTTTAGACCTGGTTTAGTCCTGGTTTAGACCTGGTTTAGTCCTGGTTTAGTCCTGGTTTAGTCCTGGTTTAGACCTGGTTTTCCTGGTTTAGTCCTGGTTTAGTCCTGGTTTAGTCCTGGTTTAGACCTGGTTTAGTCCTGGTTTAGTCCTGGTTTAGACCTGGTTTAGACCTGGTTTAGTCCTGGTTTAGTCCTGGTTTAGACCTGTACACAGTAGATGTAATATACTGTTTAGATGTAACGATATCCAAGACTCGTGATTCGATATTTTCACGATATAAATCTCACTTTACGATATTTATTTTGATATTTTGTGGAGACTAAAACTGTGAATATTTTTCTTTTTCCTCTTAAAACGTCCTTTTGACAAGTTTTAATCCAAAAAAACTACGATTTAAAAGTTAGAGCTGTGATTTCTTCATGTCGTCTGCACTGAAATGGAGCAAAGGATCATGGTCTATGTAGTTCCTCTGTGTTTTTAACTGTTCCTGCACCAGAACTTTTCATTTAAGTGAAGAAACTTGTGAGTCGATATTTTGTGACGATATGATATTACGATATTTCCGTCATCTGTTACTGATAACTGTTTAATACAGATGTGTATTTTATTATTTTATTACAAAAACACTGGACAAGTTGTGTTATGTTTTATTATATCCTGGTGTTTTGGACGTGTTTACTGACTGTTTGTTTGTTTTCAGGGGGGACGATTACAAGGACCACGTGAGGTGCATCAGTGAAGATCAGAAATACGGAGGGAAAGGATACGAGGCCAAAGCAAATAAAGGAGACGTCAAACAGCAGCAGTGGCTCCAGGTAAAACAACGACACAACGACACAGCGACACAACAAAAACACAACGACACAGCGACACAACACAAAAACACAACAAAACACAACACACAAAAACAAACACACACAAAAACACAAAAACACAAACAACACAACAAAAACACAACAAACAACACAAAAACACAACAAAACACAACACAAAAACACAACAAAACACAACACAAAAACACAACAAAACACAACAACAAACACAAAACGAAACACAAAAACAAAACAACACAACAAAACACAACAAAAAAACAAAAAAAAACTCTCTTTGTTTAGATTTTCCACGATAAATGGTAGAATTTTATTTTCTCTTCCCGTGTGTCTTTATATCTGTGTCTAAACCAGGACTAAACCTGGACTAAACCTGGACTAAACCTGGACTGAACCAGGACTAAACCAGATCTAAACCAGATCTAGACCAGGTCTAAACCAGGTCTAAACCAGGACTAAACCAGGACTAAACCAGGACTAAACCAGGTCTAAACCAGATCTAAACCAGATCTAAACCAGGACTAAACCAGGTCTAAACCAGGTCTAAACCAGGACTAAACCAGGACTAAACCAGGTCTATGTGTGTTTTCTTGTCTCTGTTCTGATCCAGTTCCAGATGGTTCATTAGGATCGATTCTCTTGACAAAACCTAAGTCATACACAGTAATTCTGCGACTAACACTGGTTTAGACCTGGTTTAATCCTGGGTTAGTCCTGGTTTAGGTCTAATTTAGTCCTGGTTTATAACTAGTTTAGTCCTGTTTTAGTCCTGATTTAGTCCTGGTTTAGGTCTAATTTAGACCTCGTTTAGTCCTGATTTAGTCCTGGTTTAGTCCTGGTTTAGTCCTGTTTAGTCCTGTTTTAGTCCTGTTTTAGGTCTAATTTAATCCTGGTTTAGTCCTGGTTTAGTCCTGGTTTAGTCCTGGTTTAGACCTGGTTTAGTCCTGGTTTAGACCTGGTTTAGTCCTTGTTTAGACCTGGTTTAGTCTTGATTTAGACCTGGTTTAGTCCTGTTTTAGGTCTAATTTAATCCTGGTTTAGTCCTGATTTAGTCCTGGTTTAGTCCTGATTTAGTCCTGGTTTAGTCCTGTTTTAGACCTGGTTTAGACCTGGTTTAGTCTTGGTTTAGTCCTGGTTTAGACCTGTTTTAGTCCTGATTTAAATCTGGTTTAGTCCTGACGTAGTCCTAGCTTTGTCAGGTTTCGTCCTGTTTTTTAAATTTTTATGTTATTTTCAGGAAACGTAAATTTTTATTTTCAGATTTATTTTAGGTGAATTTAACATTTTCAAAACAAAAAAACTTTCCCGTTGATGTAAATATTTGACGTGCTCCAGTGAATTTTAACTTGAACTTTTTTTTATTTCCAGAAAGTCCAAGTCGCTCTGAACAAACCCGGGATCTGCGCGAGGTTGAAGAGCGTCCTCCAGCAGGTGGCGACGTACGACAACGTCCCGAGGAAACAGGCGAAGTTCCAGGTTAGGGCTTTAATAATCGTGTGTGTGTGAAAGTGTCAGAGCGAAACTGTGAGTGTTTCTTTGTGTTTCTCCGTTTGGTTCAGAACTGGATGAAGAACAGTTTGAAAATCTCCAACCCGAGTTTACACGAACAAGTCTGGAACATTCTGTCGGCCGAACCTGAACCCGTGAGAATCTTCTGACCCACCTGACCCTCCTCTGACCCACCTGACCCTCCTCTGACCCACCTCTGACCCTCCTGACCCTCCTCTGACCCACCTCTGACCCTCACCTGACCCTCCTCTGACCCTCCTCTGACCCTCCCTGACCCACCCTCACCCTCCTCTGACCCTGACCCCACCTCTGACCCACCTCCCACCCTCTGACCCACCTGACCCTCCTCTGACCCACCTGACCCTCCTCTGACCCTCCTCTGACCCACCTGACCCTCCTCTGACCTCCTCTGACCCACCTGACCTGACCCACCTGACCCTCCTCTGACCCACCTCTCTCTGACCCACTGACCCTGACCTCTGACCCACCTCTGACCCCTCTGACCCCTGACCTCTGACCCCTCCCCTGACCCACCTGACCCTCCTCTGACCCTCCACCTCCACCACCTGACCCACCTCTGACCCACTCTGACCCACCTCCTCCTCTGACCCTCCTGACCCTGACCCACCTGACCCTCTCTGACCCTCCTCTCTGATCCACCTGACCCTCCTCTGACCCACCTGACCCTCTGACCCACCTGACCCACCTCTGACCCTCCTCTGACCCACCTCTGACCCACCTCTGACCCCCTCTGACCCTCCTCTGACCCACCTGACCCTCCTCTGACCCACCTCTGACCCACCTCTGACCCACCTGACCCTCCTCTGACCCACCTCTGACCCTCCTCTGACCCACCTGACCCTCCTCTGACCCACCTGACCCTCCTCTGACCCACCTCTGACCCTCCTCCCTGACCCACCTGACCCTCCTCTGACCCTCCTCTGACCCCTGACCCTCTCTGACCCACCTCTGACCTCTCTGACCCTCCTCTGACCCACCTGACCCACCTCTCTTCTCTGACCTTCTGACTTCTCTGACCACCTTCTTTTTTCTTCTTCTGACCCTCTTCATCTTCTGACCCTCTTCTTCTTCTTCTGACCCTCTTCTTCTTCTGACCCTCTTCTTCTTCTTCTGACCCTCTTCTTCTTCTGACCCTCTTCTTCTTTTTCTGACCCTCTTCTTCTTTTTCTGACCTTTTTCTTTTTCTGACCCCCTTCTTTTTCTTCTTCTGACCCTCTTCTTCTTTTTCTGACCCTCTTCTTCTTCTTCTTCTGACCCTCTTCTTCTTCTTCTGACCCTCTTCTTCTTCTGACCCTCTTCTTCTTTTTCTGACCCTCTTCTTCTTTTTCTGACCTTTTTCTTTTTCTGACCCTCTTCTTCTTTTTCTGACCCTCTTCTTCTTCTTCTGACCCTCTTCTTCTTCTCGTTGCAGGAGAAACCCGCAGAGGCCGAACCCGTCGACAAAATCCCAGAGAAGAAAAAACTGAACAAACAGGAACGAAAAGAAGCACGAAGGAAACAGAACGGAGCGAAGGCCTCCAAGAAGAACCAGGACCAAGACCAAGACCAGGACCAGGACCAGGAACCAGGACCAGGACCAGGACCAGGAGCTGAGGAAGAAGGAGAGGAAGAGGAAGCACAGACACGACGAACTGAACGGAGCCGAAATCAAGAAGACGAAGAGTGAGTCCGTCTCTTTTCTCCGACTTCCATCATCGTCTGGGGTGAAAGTCCGGCTCGTTCGGCACCGATACCGATACCGAAAACACCATTTATTTCCTTAAAACTGAAATGAAATGAGAGAAAACGGATCCAAAACAACGGAACGACTGTGGATAAATAAAAGAAAAAAAATTTAATTAATTAAATAATGATAATAATAAATAACACATAAATTCATAATAGTATTAAAAAGTAAATAATAAAAATCAAAATAACACATAACTTATTAATAATAGAAAGCAAATACATAAATTAAATACATTAATACCAACAATAAAAAGTAAATCCATAAAATAATAATCCAGATCTGAGAAAAATGAGGAGCGAGTTTTCGATATTAGTTTTAGTATCGATTAGAATCCGATTTTCGATTTTCTTGACAAAACTAATGTCGTCTGAAACACTGTAATTTAATTAATTTATTTATTTACCTTTGAATAAATAAAAGTAGATAAAAAATAAAATAATGATAATAATAAATAGAATAGATAATTAACAAATAAAACATGAATTAATAATAAAAGTAAATAAATAAATAATATAAAAATACATAAATATAAAAAAAATATATATATAATGTTTTTTTTTTTATTAAAAAAATTATTAAAATAAATAAAATAAAACAAAATTGTAATAATAATAATAATGCGGTAGTCTTATATAAGCGTAATGTGTTCTGAATCAGTTGCGCTCCGTTAACAGTCGTATTAGGTTATTTTATTTTTCCAAACAGGAGATCGTCTGAACCGATATTTGGAAGCCGATATCTGACCCCAGTATTGAATTGGTGCGTCTGTAATAATTAGACTAAAATAAAAATGGGCCCTAAAGTACGTCCCAGCAGAACTCATCGACCGGCAGTTTCTCTGGATTCTAAACTAAATCGGTATCGGTATCGGTATCAGCGTCCCCGGAGTCTGGACTGTGTGATTCTGCTTGACTCAGTTTTTTTTTTTTTTTTTTTCAGTTGAAGATTCAACAGCAGAAAACGACCAAGAACCAGACGACGAGGCCGAGAAAGAGACTCAGAGTAAAGGTAAAGTTAAACAAACAAGACAGCAGAGCGTCACGTGACCGGTTCAGTTCTGGTCCACATATTGTTGGTCCCGGTTTTTGCCGTATTATAACAAGTGAATGGGTCGAGTCACCGATAGAAAAGATTAGTGATGAGAATCGAGGATCCTCTCACTGGGTTTTTCTCAGAGGATCTGGGAAACTGTCCTGTAGACGCAGTTTCCTGATTTGTCAAAACTGGAGCTGTGCTCAAATCACAAAAGGATCATTCCACCCCAAATCTCCGAATTCCCTCGCCCGACCGTCTCAGATTTGACTGAAAAACGTTTAACGTTCACACTGGAGTCACACACAAGTCACATTTAAGTGGAAATGTGAACGACCTCGCAAAAACATCGGATTTCACAAAAAAGTCCGAATTGAGCGTTAAGCCCTGCAGTCTGAACGAAGACTTAGTTTATGCAAATTAATTCAATCCAATCCACTTTATTTCTATCGCACATTTCACAAACTGTTTCCAAAGTGCTGCACAAATACATAAAAAATAACAATAAGATGATAAAGTAAACTACTAAAATAATACTAGTCTTAAAGTAATAAAACCAGTAAAATAAAATAAAAACAGTAAAATAAAAATAAAACTATATCATAGAATAGAAATAAATAAACCAATAAATAAATTAAATCAGTAAAACCAATAAAAACACATAAAGACACAGAGGAGCAACAACTCACGCGATGTTAAAAACCAGAAAATAAAAGTGGGTCTTCAGACGAGATTTAAAACTCTCCACTGTGGAGCTGCTCAAACGTGAAGCGGCAGATCGTTCCAGAGTTTAGGGTCGACCACAGAGAAGCTCCCGTCCTCCTGGTTTTAAGTCTCGTCTTAGGCCCTGAGCTGGAGCTGGACCTCGGACCTCAGAGCGCGAGCAGGGGTGTAAATATATAATGAGCCGTGCGGGTTTAAGTTTAGTTTCTGTGAGATTTGCACAAATCTAAATTAAACACATTATAATGTCAAACAGATGATGTGGCTCTAGAGTCGTTATGTTTATATGTCGTAAAGTTGAATTTATTTATGCAGATTAGTGCAGATAGTAATAATAATGATGATCATTTTAATATAAAAAAACGTTAATGATTAATCGATAATTGATCATTAATTCTCTCAACGATCGATTAAGAAAATTTAATCAAATGCCCGTCACTACTTCGGACGTCATCGCTTTTGGCTCCTCCCCCAGATGAAGCGAGCCTCGATTCGCGCTTCGACGCCTCGACACGTCTCGTAACATCACGAATAAAAAGTCTGTTTCAGCTAGGGGTGTGCAAAAATATCAGAATATCGATATATCGTATTGTTTAATGTGATGATACAGTATCGATATCGTGGGCTACTGTATCGATATATATGAGCAAGAGTATTTTTAGGTGTGTTTTACTAAATTATTTTGTTACAGCTACAGTTTTGTTGCTTGTGGAGTGAAAAGAAACTCATTTATTCAACACATTTGACATTTTCTCTGTTTTGATGATTAAAATGTTTGTGTTTCATATGAACTTTGCACAAGAAGAAGTGATTTAACAAAGACTTTTAGTGTCACAGCCACAATTTAGCCTTTATTTTTTATTGAACCGTATCGAATCGATTTGAAATATATCATATCGAATTGAAAGTGCACTGTATCGAGGTATGTATCGTATCGTGGCCTGTGTATCGAGGTATGTATCGTATCGTGGCCTGTGTATCGAGGTATGTATCGTATCGTGGCCTTTGTATCGAGGTGCGTATCGTATCGTGGCCTGTGTATCGAGGTATGTATCGTATCGTGGCCTGTGTATCGAGATATGTATCGTATCGTGGCCTGTGTATCGAGGTGTATATCGTATCGTGGCCTGTGTATCGAGATATGTATCGTATCGTGGCCTTTGTATCGAGGTATGTATCGTATCGTGGCCTTTGTATCGAGGTATGTATCGTATCGTGGCCTTTGTATCGAGGTATGTATCGTATCGTGGCCTGTGTATCGAGGTATGTATCGTATCGTGGCCTTTGTATCGAGGTATGTATCGTATCGTGGCCTTGTGTATCGATCGGTGTGTATCGTATCGTGGCCTGTTGTATCGAGGTGTGTATCGTATCGTGGCCTTTATCGTATCGAGGTGTGTATCGTATCGTGGCCTTGTATCGTATCGAGGTGTGTATCGTATCGTGGCCTTTGTATCGAGGTATGTATGGTATCGTGGCCTGTGTATCGAGGTGTGTATGGTATCGTGGCCTGTGTATCGAGGTATGTATGGTATCGTGGCCTTTGTATCGAGGTATGTATCGTATCAGCAACTTCTTAATGATACCAGCCCTAGTTTCAGCGAACTGGAAGAGAGACCAAAATATCGTGTGTTATTTTACTCTGGAACATTTCTGTACCGTTTTCAGGCGCAGTCTCTGAAAACACAAAACTTCTGTTGCTTATCGTCGCGTCGTTATTTGTTCTCACATTTCTGGTCTCGGCGTGGCCCCGTGTCCCGCGCGCGCTGTACCTGCTCCGTCCACTCGGGGGCGCTGTCGTGTCATTAAAGGTCGTATAGAGGATTTTTTAAGGGAAGCGGAATACAGCGACCGTCCTTTTTCAAATGTTGTGCAAGTGCGACACCACCTTCCTCGGTAGAAACATCTCCTCCTCCCGCCTCTTTACTCTACAAATCACATTTGTTTACATCCAGTGCACGTTCAGAATTACCGTTGAAGTGACCTGCCTAGAAATATTTTAGCGACTGAAGCGTCAGTTTTTAGACCCTTCGGACTTTCTTTTGCGGCGAACTGGTCGTGGATTCTCGTCCGCCACCGCGACAAACTTTGTGCGAACTGCGAGGATGCGACAGTTTGAAAAAAGCCTCAAAGAACCGCTGCATAAACCACGTAATCCCCGAGCGCCGACGAGTCAGTTACACTAAAAATGTAGGGAGTTTGACTGACGACCTAACAGCCAATAGAAAAAGAGGGAGCCTCGTTTTCTATTGGCTGATGTTTATCTGGCCTCACTACGTCCACTGTTGATAGATTTTCATTCTTTCTTTTTTTCTCGGTCATCATAATTAAAAAGCTGCTGCGTCTCTGTAATGGTATTTTAAACTTTCAATGACAATTTTAAACAAAACAAAAAAAATCCTCCGTACAACCTTTAACATCCGCTCTGTGTTTTCTGTGTTTTTGTTTTGTTTGAATCCAGAGAAGTTCAACTGGAAAGGAAACATCAAGGCTCTTCTGAGAGAGTCCGAGGACCAAGAGCTGCCGCTGAAGAAGCTACGGAAGAGGGTGCCACTTTTGCACTTTTGACTGAATTATTGCCGTTTTATTTGTTTGTTTTTTTTCAGCCTCATGACGTTTTCTCTCTCGTGTTTTTGTTTTTCGTCTTTTGCAGGTGGTGGCGGCGTACTACTCGTTCACCGGAGACTCCAATTATAAATCCAAGGAGGAGGTTCTGGCTGTTTTCAACCAAAAACTCCACAAAAACCCCAAGTTTAGAATTTTGAAAGACCGAGTCAAACTTGTAAAATAACCCTGTGTCCTTGAGCCTCGTCTGTTTGTTTACATGAAAATGAACCTCTGACCTGATTTTTTTTGTTTTTTAAAATTTCCATTTGATTGATCTCGATTTCGGAGTCGATCGTCTTTCATTTTATTGAAAACGCAGAAAGAGCAGGTGTCAGGATCACTACAGTTTTTAATTTCGTGTTGACAAATCCACATTTAAACCTGGAACATGTTTGTAGAAACTCGTCACAATAAACCAGAGAAAGAACCAACTTCCAAAAACATGAACAGTGTAAATAATCCGACAGGTGGAAACTGCATCACAACGAGCTCAATAATGTTTACTTACTTTATTTTATTTTTCACAACACGACAATAATTAACTCAAACTGTTCTACAAAAAAACAACTCTGCTTCCTGTAATTTTCCACTTAATTTCACAAATAGCTTTTTGATTTGTGTGAAAACGTAATTTATATTTAAAATTGATAATATCCCACTAAATTAAATCAAAATGACAGAATCTTCAGAGTTTTTCAGACACTTTAATCTGTGATTTCCAACCAGAATTTGGGGCTTTGATTTTTTTGTTTATTTTCTTTTTTACTCACCTTTTTATCCGCCATGTTTGTTTTGACACCTGTCATTGCACTTGTCTCTTACACCTGTCCTCGCACCTGTCCTCACACCTGTCCTCACACCTGTCCTCGCACCTGTCCTCACCTGTCCTCGCACCTGTCCTCGCACCTGTCCTCGTACTGTACAGGGAGGGCATCTGACACAAAAACATATTTCAGGACACGTTTGTAGAGAATAAAACAAAAGCCTGTTTAAAGAGCCTGTGCTGCACCTGCCGTCCCTGACACCTGTCGACACCTGTCCTCACCTGTGACACCTGCCAACTCCCTCACAGCTGATGCACCTGTCATTACACCTGTCCTTACACCTGTCGTTGCACCTGCGGCGGGGGGGGGGGTTGTGGCGTCTCTTAATCCGGCGTCTTTAACACAGACTCATTCATGAAGTGAAACAGGAGCTCATTCCAACGCCGCCCGACCGAGACGCCGTCGCCACGGAAACACCACGGCCCGGGCTAAAGACACAGTCTGGAACTTTCTCACACTGCACTGTGCAGGAGACCTGATCTAGTCCTGGTCTAGTCTTGGTCTAGTCCTGGGTTAGACCTGGTTTAGACCTGATTCACTCTGAGTGGTTTTGCATGTTGTTTAACACACAAACCCTGCACACTCTGTTCCACATTATGATGTCATGTGCTGATACAGGAAGTGCTCCACTGTGTTTTTAAAATCCACACACCTTCACTAGAATCATCTGGATCATTTCAGTCTTGGAAATGGCCATATATTAATCTGTATTGATCGATACAAATGTGTATATATATATATATATATATATATATATATATATATATATATATATATATACACGTTTATGTCACAAAACAGGAAGACGTTTGGAAACATGCGATGTCGACTTCCTGTTTGCTCTGTTTTCTGTAGTCGGGAGGAAAACTGAGAAAATGTCGCGGTTTTCTTCATGTCCGTGTCATTGTTCTGATCTGAGGCGCCAAATTCAAGACGATTCCAAACAGCAGGTCCGCGTCCCTCTGGTCATGACACGAGAATCCACAGTGTCACTCGCACTTTTCACCAAGTTACAAAACAACAATACAAAACTCAGCGTGTCCCTCACCCTCCCTGACGCCGCTCGACCTGCACCGTGATCCACACTGAGCGGCGGGACTCGTGTGACCCGGTGCGCCGCGTAAACACGGCTCCTCTTTCAGACCCACACTGAGTCCGCTTCACCCGCGCCAAACCCGCCGTGTGCGCCACGTCCACGAAACGAAGACGATGACGAGGAGGAGGAGGAGGAGGCCGAGGAGCCGGAGCGGAGCCAGACTCGGGTCAGAGGCGCGGCTCGTGTTCTCTGCGGGGGTAAAGTTATACGAGCAGATAAAGCCCCACACTGCGGCTCCTGTCTGCGCCCAAATCAGGACACAACTTTATGAAGAAGAAAAAAAAAAAAAAAAGCATGCAGAGAAAGAAGCAGTGGGTAAAACCTTCAGAAATATCCAGTTGAGACTAAAATAAATGTTCGTAAATTCTCGAATGAGTCGAGTCGAACGTAAAATGTGTCAGAGAACGAATTGAAAAATGACGATGTCGAGAATTAAAATCAACAAATGAAAATGTACGAAAACGAATTCACATCATCACTTCACAGGCAGAAGAAACATCGATCGAGACGCAGGACTAAACCAGGACTAAACCAGGTCTAAACCAGGACTAAACCAGGACTAAACCAGGTCTAAACCAGGACTAAACCAGGACTAAACCAGGTCTAAACCAGGACTAAACCAGGTCTAATCCAGGACTAAACCAGGTCTAACCAGGACTAAACCAGGTCTAATCCAGGACTAAACTAAAGGACTAAACCAGGTCTAAACCAGGTAAACCAGGTCTAAACCAGGTCTAAACCAGGACTAAACCAGGACTAAACCAGGTCTAAACCAGGTAACTAAACCAGGTCTAAACCAGGACTAAACCAGGTCTAAAGGACTAAACCAGGACTAAACCAGGTCTAAACCAGGACTAAACCAGGTCTAAACCAGGACTAAAGGTCTAAACCAGGACTAAAGGTCTAAACCAGGACTAAACCAGGTCTAAACCAGGTCCAGGACTAAACCAGGTCTAAACCAGGACTAAACCAGGTCTAAACCAGGACCAGGTAAACCAGGTCTAAACCAGGACTAAACAGGTCAGGTCTAACCAGGACTAAACCAGGTCTAATCCAGGACTAAACCAGGTCTAAACCAGGACTAAACCAGGACTAAACCAGGTCTAATCCAGGACTAAACCAGGTAAACCAGGTCTAAACCAGGTCTAAAGGACTTAAACCAGGTCTAGGACTAAACCAGGAGGTCTAAACCAGGACCAGGACTAAAGGGTCTAAACCAGGACTAAACCAGACAGGACTAAACCAGGTCTAAACCAGGACTAAACCAGGTCTAAACCAGGACTAAACCAGGTCTAGGACTAAACCAGGTCTAAACCAGACTAAACCAGGACTAAAAGGTCTAACCAGGTCTAAACCAGGACTAAACCAGGTTAAACCAGGACTAAACAGGACTAAACCAGGTCTAATCCAGGACTAAACCAGGTCTAAACCAGGACTAAACCAGGACTAAACCAGGTCTAAACCAGGTCTAAACCAAGATAAACCAGGACTAAATCAGGACTAAACCAGGACTAAACCAGGACTAAACCAGGTCTAAACCAGGACTGAATCTTGAGAGACTTGAGGGAGGGAGAACCCGAGCTCGTGGAGGAGGGTGTGACCTGAGGAGGTCCTGGGGAAGACCCAGGACACACTGGAGGGACTGTGTCTCTGGACTGACCTGGGAACACCTCAGGATCCCCCCGGAGGAGCTGGAGGAAGTGTCTGGGGTGGAGGAAGTCTGGGAGTCCCTGTTTGAACTGCTGCCCTCACGACCCGGGTGTGTGTGTGTTTGCTGCAGATGTTCTGATCAGTGGCTCTGGGAAGAAGGATCAAAACAAAACTCCAGACGCTCCGAAGACGTGAACTCACAGGACGAAACACAGAGTTAAAAGGCGTTTATTGAAATGGACAAAGCCGATGAGTTTCGAGTAAACATCAGGGGCTTATCACCAGGGTTTAATTAAAAAAACAGAACATGGGCGTGGCCTTTAAATAAAACACACAAACCAAATGTACAGACTGGAGATTAAAGACAAACAAAACAGAACAGGTGCAAGATCAACAGCACAAGACACGACACAGTAAAAAAACAAACACAACACCCACACAGTCCACATAAACAGACATATATTTATATATACATATATACGTACATGGGCGTGCACACTAATATGAAAAACATAGTAACAACAATAATATTATTATTATTATGATCATTGTTACTACGACGACCCGGGGTTGTGACCTGTGATCAGAAAATAACACACACACACATATACATATATATATATATGTATATATATGTGTGTGTGTATATATATATATATATACACACACACACATGCACACACGGGTTCAGTCAAGGTGTAACGGAGGGAAACAGGGTCAGATTTTTGACATTCAAATGTCTCTTATTCAGAAACTAGAGGAACTATTGAAATAAGTAAAGTATCAGAATGTAGGAAAGAGTTACACTCCAACAGGGTCAAGTTAAACCTGTGAGATTCTTTCAAGTTCAAGACTAAACATTTAAAAACTCATGTCGGTAACGGAGGGAATGAAATATGCAGCACTTTTTGGTCAATAAATCCAAACAGTGAAAACTCTTGGTTCTCACTTCCATATCCTTAACAAACTGGTTTGAATATTTGCTTCATATAGTTTTCTACCATATGGTACAAGATTAGGTTGAAAAACCTCTGACTTTTTGACTCATGAGATTTTTTATTAAGAAAGGTCATGGTAACGGAGGGAAAAGTAACGGAGGGAAAATTGTTCAAACAAGTAGAAGGTGCAGGATTTTACATCATTTGTCACTTTTTTCTTCTGAAAACTTTAATATTACTTCAAAATGAAAGAAACTATTTCTATAAAATATGTCAGTCCTTCCAAGAAAATTTTTATCATTTTAAATACATTTTAAAAAAAAAAAAAAAATCCTGTCCCTTCATCAACAGTTGAAAGATGGAATAACACAAGATATGATGAAATACAAACATTTATTTACATGATTTTCAGGTCTTTGAAATTTGGGAAATAATTTTTTGTTCCATGTTTCATACATGGTCTGTTTAAAACGTGTGGAACTTTAGAACCAAAAATGGTATCTTTGCTGTTCCAGTACTGCACTTTTCTGGACTGAGATGTATCTGTTGTAGCCACTCTTCCAGTTTGCGGGTTATATGTATATATATTTAATCAATTCTGAATTTTGAGGCAATAAGGATATTTCTACTTCACTTACTTGATATTTTGCACTTTTGTAGCATTTTTTTTGTCCAAAAATTAGTTTACACATGTTGCGGTGTGTTTTGTCTGTTTAAGAAATGTCAAGGAAATCAAGAAGCCATTTTCATTTTGTTACATTTTTCCATCTGCCAGTAAACATAAAATAAACGTAAATCATTGACCAGTGACACGTTTAGACACATTTACTACAAAAGAAAAAAGACAAAAACATTTTATTGTGACAGAATATATTCAAAACGCATTTAAATCCACCCAAAAATACATTTTAAAAGATAATTAAATAAGATTATTTGTCTAAACTTCATAGTTTTAGAGTTTAAGGAGCTTACACGTAAAAACTACAAATGTCGCGCAGAGTTACGTCACCACATGCGCCGCGCTCTGAACAGGAAGTGGTCGCAGTGAATCGGTTCTGTGTTTTGGTGTTTTGGTGGGTTTTTTTGGTGAAAATGGAGTCGACACTGAACGCGGGAGACTTGGCCACGCTCCGGAACCGATTCAAGAAAGACGCGGAGTTTTTACTTCACGGCTCCGAGAGTGAAGAGCCGGAGGAGTCGCACAAAGGTGAGTCTGAGCCGGAGAAGAGCCAAAAGAGCCGCACAAGGGTGAGTCTGAGCCAGAGGAGCCGCACAAGGGTGAATCTGAGCCAGAGGAGCCGCACAAGGGTGAGTGTGTGAGCCGGAGGAGCCGCACAAGGGTGAGTCTGAGCCAGGGAAGAGCCAAAGGAGCCGCACGAGGGTGAGTCTGAGCCGGAGAAGAGCCAAAAGAGCCGCACGAGGGTGAGTCTGAGCCAGAGAAGAGCCAAAAGAGCCGCACAAGGGTGAGTCTGAGCCAGAGAAGAGCCAAAAGAGCTGCACAAGGGTGAATCTGAGCCAGAGGAGCCGCACAAGGGCGAGTCTGAGCCAGGGAAGAGCCAAAGGAGCCGCACAAGGGTGAGTCTGGGCCGGAGAAGAGCCAAAAGAGCCGCACAAGGGTGAGTCTGAGCCAGAGAAGAGCCAAAAGAGCCGCACAAGGGTGAGTCTGAGGCCGGAGAAGAGCCAAAAGCCGCACGAGGGTGAGTCAGAGCCAGAGAAAAAAAGGAGAAGAGAGGAGACAGGAGAGAGAAGAGAGGGAGAGGAGATAGAAGAGAAGAAGGGGAGAAGAGCGAGAGCAGAAGTCAAGGAAGAGGAGTCTTCTCTCTTTTCTCTGCTCTTTTCTCTCTCCTTCTCTTCTCTCCCTCTCTTCTTTCTCTCTTCTTCGTCTCTTCTCGTGTCTCTCTCCGTCTCTCCATCTCTCCATCTCTCTCGTCGTAGGTTCAGATGAGGTCGTCTCTCAGCCCCTCCCTCGTGTGAACCGTCACTCAGTTTTCTGGATTGTGGCGTCGGTGTTGATCACGTACTACATCGACTTCTTCCCCGAGCTCCTGCACAGCGACGTCATCAACAGGTCAAGACCCACAACAAACTGTCCTCCTCAAACTGTCCTCCTCAAACTGTCCTCCTCAAACTGTCCTCAAACTGTCCTCCTCAAACTGTCCTCCTCAAACTGTCCTCCTCAAACTGTCCTCCTCAAACTGTCCTCCTCAAACTGTCCTCCTCAAACTGTCCTCCTCAAACTGTCCTCCTCAAACTGTCCTCCTCAAACTGTCCTCCTCAAACTGTCCTCCTCAAACTGTCCTCCTCAAACTGTCCTCTTCAGATCTTTCTCTGCACCCACTTCGACTTATGCTTCCGTGTACACGCCCGTACTTTGACACTTCACATACACTTCGACGTTCACACTAGAGCAGGAGAGTCAAACTCATTTTGTTCCGGGGGTCGTGTCCAACCGACTTTGATCCAAAGTGTCCGGATCAGAAAACTCATGTCATATAAACCCCAAAAATAACAATAAGTTCAAATATTTGTGCAGAGAAACACAAATCTATTACAGAAATCTTTTTAAATTGATGAACTCTTTCTTTTACAAAATATTATAATATTATGAACAACCTGAAACTTTAAGAAAAATACAATTTCAACACAAAGTTTTAACATGAACTTGTCTGTAAACAGGAATAAGTCCATTTTTGTTGTAAAATCCTGCACTCGGCTCCACTTTTCTCATGTTGGACATTTTTCTGATGAGGGTGTCACGGTCAACAGTCAAAACGATCGTCCTTTAAGAGCGTTTGGAAAGAGACAAGTCTTCATTTGTGCTGCTCTGGTGGGAGGGGCCACGTACAGAGACGCTGGAGACGCTGCTGTGATAAACACCACAGAAAATTACAAATATTTTAATAGAAAATATTATTAAAATATTTTAGTAGAAAATCAGCCTGAGGGCCAGATTAAAGGTCTTGGAGTTGGAGTCCCTCCCACGTCCAAGTGATCGAACCCAAACTGAACCCGACATGATTAAAATGACTCTTTCCACAGATCGACTAATAACACACAGGACACTGTTTGTTCTTCTAACACTGTTTCACAAACACCGGGTCGCGGTCCTCAGCTGGGACACAACAGATGTGCATGTGGGTCTGTGATGTACAGAAACATACATCTCTGTTCTCTCTGCTCCTCACTCTCACAGCAGCAGCGTCTGGACTTACACATTTCCTGTGGGAAACACTGATGACTGTTTTTCCTTGTTTAAAACCCTCTCGTTCTCCTCGGGGTCACACTGACCTGAAGATTCTTTTCCTCCCCGCTCTCTTGGGGCGGGTCAATCAGACCCAAACATTTATTTTCAAATAAATTCTCCCCAGGTGAGAAAATAAATGTTTGGGTCTGATTGACCCGCCCCAAGAGAGCGAGGAGGAAAAAATAATTCTTCAGGTCAGTGTGACCCCGAGGAGAACGAGAGGGTTCAGACTTGAGTACCGTATTTTTCAGACTATAAGACGCACTTCAAATCCTTCATTTTCTCAAAATTCGACAGAGTGTCTTGTGTATTTCTTCTGGTCGTGTTACTGACGTCAAACTGATTCTCCCACTGAGTCGAGTCTTTAGTCCCACAGAAACTGAACCACATCAGCAGCACGAGGAGAGAGACGTTTGTTTTATTTCTTATAGTTTATGCAAATGAGTCATGTGACTCTGCTCAAGTGTGACGTGCAGCAGGAGGAGGGGCCCACAGCCTGGTTTAGTCCTGGTCTAGTCCTGGTTTAGACCTGGTCTAGTCCTGGTTTAGACCTGGTCTAGTCCTGGTTTAGACCTGGTTTAGACCTGGTTTAGACCTGGTTTAGACCTGGTTTAGACCTGGTTTAGTCCTGGTTTAGTCCTGGTCTAGTCCTGGTCTAGTCCTGGTTTGGTCCTGGTTTAGACCTAGTTTAGACCTGGTTTAGACCTGGTTTGGTCCTGGTTTAGACCTGGTTTAGTCCTGGTCTAGTCCTGGTTTAGACCTGGTTTAGTCCTGGTCTAGTCCTGGTCTAGACCTGGTTTGGTCCTGGTTTAGACCTAGTTTAGACCTAGTTTAGACCCGGTTTAGACCTGGTTTAGTCCTGGTCTAGTCTTGGTCTAGTCCTGGTCTAGTCCTGGTTTAGACCTGGTTTAGACCTGGTTTAGACCTGGTTTAGTCCTGGTCTAGTCCTGGTCTAGTCCTGGTCTAGTCCTGGTTTGGTCCTGGTTTAGACCTAGTTTAGACCTGGTTTAGACCTGGTTTAGTCCTGGTTTAGTCCTGGTTTAGTCCTGGTTTAGTCCTGGTTTAGTCCTGGTTTTCTCACGCTGAAATCGTTGCACTTGTTTCTTTTATTAGGTCATTTTAGAAAAAAAAATTAAGATTTAAACCGTCATAATTAGAACAGAAGGTCAAAGGTCAGACACATGTAAACACAGTCTGGGTCAGAGGTCAAAGGTCAGACACATGTAAACACAGTCTGGGTCAAAGGTCAGACACATGTAAACACAGTCTGGGTCAGAGGTCAGACACATGTAAACACAGTCTGGGTCAGAGGTCAGACACATGTAAACACAGTCTGGGTCAAAGGTCAGACACATGTAAACACAGTCTGGGTCAGAGGTCAAAGGTCAGACACATGTAAACACAGTCTGGGTCAGAGGTCAAAGTCAGACACATGTAAACACAGTCTGGGTCAAAGGTCAGACACATGTAAACACAGTCTGGGTCAGAGGTCAAAGGTCAGACACATAAACTGTGTTGGTGTAAAAGAGGCGGAGCAGCAACAGAAAGAGTGAAAACTGAACTGAAGGAAAAACAAGAAAACACAGGAGGAGGAGAGGAGGGAAGAGAGGAGGAGAGGAGGAGGGAGGAGAGGAGAGAGGGAGGAGAGGGGAGAGGGAGGAGAGAAGAGAGGAGAGAGGGAGGAGAGAGGAGAGGAGAGGGGAGAGGAGGAGAGAGGGAGGAGAGAGAGGGAGGAGAGGAGAGGAGAGGAAGGGAGGAGGAGAGAAGAGAGGAGAGGAGGAGAGAGAGAGGGAGAGAGGGGAGAGAGAGAGGGAGGAGAGGAGAGAGAGAGGAGGAGAGAGGGAGGAGAGAGAGAGAGGAGAGGGAGGAGAGAGGAGAGGGAGAGGAGGGAGAGGGAGGAGAGGAGAGGGAGAGGAGAGGAGGAGAGGAGAGGGGAGGAGGAGAGGAGAGGAGAGGAGGAGAGGAGAGGAGAGAGGGAGGAGGAGAGAGAGGAGAGGAGAGGAGAGAGAGAGGGGAGGAGAGAGGAGAGAGGGAGGAGGGGGAGAGGGAGAGAGAGAGGAGAGGAGGGAGAGAGAGAGAGAGAGAGGAGAGAGAGGAGAGGAGAGAGAGGAGGAGAGAGGGAGAGAGAGAGAGAGAGAGGGAGAGAGGAGAGGAGGAGAGAGGGAGAGAGGGAGGAGGAGAGGAGAGGAGGAGAGAGAGAGAGAGGGAGAGAGAGGAGAGAGGAGAGAGAGAGAGGAGGAGAGAGGAGAGGAGAGAGAGGAGAGAGGAGAGAGAGGAGAGAGAGAGAGAGAGAGAGAGGAGGAGAGGAGAGAGAGAGGGGAGGAGAGGAGAGGAGAGGAGAGAGAGGGAGAGAGAGGGAGAGGAGAGGAGGAGGAGAGGAGGAGAGAGGAGAGGGAGAGGAGAGAGGAGAGAGGAGAGGAGAGGAGAGAGAGAGTAAAAGGTTTCACATCTGCCCTCTACTGGTGAAAAAAATACATCACTTACACACATGAACAAACCAGTGAATATCCTCCCTCTCTCTCTCTCTCTCTCTCTCTCTCTCTCTCTCTCTCTCTCTCTCTCTGTCTCTCTCTCTCTCTCTCTCTCTCTCTTCTCCTCTCTCTCTCCTCCTTCTCTCTCTCTCTATCTGTATGTTTGTTTGTTTTTTTCAGGTGGTGGTTGACTGTGGGCCTCCTCCTCTTCCTCCTCTCCCTCTGTCACTCTGTCACTCTTTCTCTCCTCCCTCTCTTCTCCTCTCCTTCCTCTCTCTCTTTCACAGTCCCTCTCTCTCTCTCCTTCCACCCTCCTGCCTCGCTCTATGTCTCTCCTCCTCTCCCTCTGTCGCTCCTTCTCTTCTTCCTCTCTCCTTCTCTCTAACTATATATTTCTTTTTTTTCAGGTGGTAGTCTCCTCTCCTCTCTCCCTCTGTCCTCCCTCCTCCTCTCCTCTCTCCTCTCCTCTCCTCTCTCCTCCTCCTCTCCTCTCTCCTCCTCCTCTCCTCCTCTCCTCTCCTCTCCTCTCCTCCTCTCTCCTCTCTCTCCTCTCCTCTCTCCTCTCTCTCTCCTCTCTTCACTCCTCTCCTACTCTCCTCCTACCTCCTTCTCTCTAACTATATATTTCTTTTTTTCAGGTGGTAGTCTCCTTTCCTCTCTCCCTCTGTCCTCCTCTCCTCTCCTCCTCTCCTTTCTCCCCTCCTCCTCCCTCCTCTCCTCTCTCCTCTCCTCCTCCTCTCCCTCCTCTCTCTCCTCCCTCCTCCTCCTCTCCCTCCTCTCCTCTCCTTCTCTCCTTTCTTCCCTCCTCCTCCCTCCTCTCCTCTCTCCTCTCCTCCTCCTCCTCTCCTCCTCTCCTCTCCTCTCCTCCTCCTCCTCCTCTCTTCCTCCTTCCTCCCTCCTCTCCTCTCCTCCTCCTCTTCTCTCTCCCCTAATCTCTCCTCCCTCCTCTCCTCTCTCCTCCTCCTCTCTTCCTTTCCTCACCTCTCTCCTCCTCTCCTCCCTCCTCTCTCCTCCTCTCTCTTCCTCCTCTCTTCCCTCCTCCTCCTCCCCTCCCTCCTCTCCTCTCCTCCCTCCTCCCTCCTCTCTTCCCTCCTCTCTCCTTCTCTCCCTCTGTTTTTCTCTCGCTCTTTTAACTGTTTTTGTTTTGTTTTTTTCAGGTGGTGGTTGAACGTGGGCCTCCTCCTTCTCTCCCTCTGTCTTTCTCTCGCTCTTTTAACTGTTTTTGTTTTGTTTTTTTCAGGTGGTGGTTGAACGTGGGCCTCCTCCTTCTCTCCCTCTGTCTTTCTCTCGCTCTTTTAACTGTTTTTGTTTTGTTTTTCAGGTGGTGGTTGAACGTGGGCCTCCTCCTTCTCTCCCTCTGTCTTTCTCTCGCTCTTTTAACTGTTTTTGTTTTGTTTTTTTCAGGTGGTGGTTGAACGTGGGCCTCCTCCTTCTCTCCCTCTGTCTTTCTCTCGCTCTTTTAACTGTTTTTGTTTTGTTTTTTCAGGTGGTGGTTGAACGTGGGCCTCCTCCTTCTCTCCCTCTGTCTTTCTCTCGCTCTTTTCTGCATCATTTACCTGGAGTGGTTTAAGGGGATCTCTCAGTACGACCGGGAGTACCCCGCCGTCCCCGCCCTCACCACCGCCGCCTTCATCGCCGCCTCCTGCAGGTAAACGCCGCGCCGCTGCAGGTGACGCCGCCTCGGTCTGGAATGTTCCTCCGTGCGGCATTAAATATGGAGTCAGAAGCTTTCAGAAATGTCCGTGCGCGTAGAACAGAAATCCCTGCGTATTTGTCTGTATCTGTTTTTCTCTGGATTTTTCAGCTCTAAAACCATCTGTGATTGAATAAATGTTTAAAGTCACACTGTGGAACATTCCAGGCAGAGCAGTGACGTCTCCATAGAAACAAAGAAAAAATCTACCCTGTAAACTTGAACAATTAAGCAGTTATTAAAAAATGTGAGGTTAATTTTGCCTAACTTTTTTTAAGTTTATAGATTTATTGTTTTTAATTAATGTAAAAAAAAAAAAAAATGTAAATATTACACAAAATCTTTAATTACATTTAGTATTTTATAAAAAATAATTGTATTTATTTATTTATTTTACATTCCTTAAAATATTTTTTTAGGGGTAATTATATTTTTATTTAATTGATACAAAAGATTTTAGGTGATACTCGCACATATTTTTAATTTACAGTCATTAAAAAAGTAGGATTACAGAACTTAAAAAAAAAAAAAAAGTTAGGCAACTGATTACCTTATTTTTTTACTTAAATAAAAAAAAAAATTCAAACAAACCTGCATTTATTTTGAGTTTAGACCTGTTTAAAAACATTTCAGAATTCCTGGTTTAGTCCTGGTTTAGTTCCTGGTTTTAGTCCTGGTTTAGTCCTGGTTTAATCCTGGTTTAAAATCCTGGTTGAGTTTAGTCCTGATTTAGACCTGGTTTAGTCCTGGTTTAGTCCTGGTTTAATCCTGGTTTAGTCCTGGTTTAATCCTGGTTTAGTCCTGGTTTAGACCTGGTTTAGTCCTGGTTTAATCCTGGTTTAGTCCTGGTTTAGACCTGGTTTAGTCCTGGTTTAATCCTGGTTTAGTCCTGGTTTAGTCCTGGTTTAGTCCTGGTTTAGTCCTGGTTGAGTTTAGTCCTGATTTAGACCTAGTTTAGTCTTGGTTTAGTCCTGGTTTAATCCTGGTTTAGACCTGGTTTAGACCTGGTTTAGACCTGGTTTAGTCCTGGTTTAGTCCTGGTTTAGTCCTGGTTTAGTCCTGGTTTAGACCTGGTTTAGTCTTGGTTTAGACCTCTTTTAGTCCTGGTTTAGTCCTGGTTTAATCCTGGTTTAATCCTGGTTTAGTCCTGGTTTAGACCTGGTTTAGTCCTGGTTGAGTTTAGTCCTGGTTTAGTCCTGGTTGAGTTTAGTCCTGGTTTAGACCTGGTTTAGTCCTGGTTTAGACCTGGTTTAGACCTGGTTTAGTCCTGGTTGAGTTTAGACCTGGTTTAGTCCTGGTTTAGACCTAGTTTAGTCCTGGTTTAGTCCTGGTTTAGACCTGGTTTAGACCTGATTTAGTCCTGGTTTAATCCTGGTTTAATCCTGGTTTAGACCTGGTTTAGTCCCTTCATCACAAACCTGTTTGAAGAGGTTTACAGTCATCCGTGCGTGTTTGAGTCAACTAGTGAGTACGAGCAGTACGAGTCTGTACGAGGCTCCGCCCCCCAAGCTCCCACACGACAATTCTCCATAAATCCACAAAAACATGACACAAACTGTCCACAGCGACTGGACAAACCTGATGTGACGTGCAGGAGTTTCATTAGTGGGACGCAGCTGAGGAGCTTTGAAGGGGGAGCGACTTAGCACAGAGAGAAGGGAGTGTCAGAAATTAAATTGAAATGTATAAAATGACAGACTCTCCGCTGACCTGACTGGGCTCCCTGTTCCGGCCGCACGAGCAGTTTTGTATCTTGTGATTGTGTTTGTGTTCGGTCTGACGCGGAGACGTGGTTCTGTTTGTTGTGTTTCAGTCTGAACCTGGCGCTGTGGCCCCTCTGGTCCTTCCTCACGCCGCTCCTCCTCTTCACGCAGTTCATGGGCGTCGTGATGCTCGTCTCGCTGCTCGGGTAGACGCCCGTCCTCCTGCTCCTCCTGCTCCGACGACGGCGCTCGCTCCTCACTAACCCGTATTTATGATGTCATGTTTAATGTTTACGTGCTTTTTATAACAAATAAAGTTTTATACACGTTTGATTTCACACACGTTTGGATCTTTCTTTTACTTTTATACTTTAGGTGGAAAAAAAACCTGATCTCTGTTCTCGTGTTGTAAAACTGACCTGGAGTTGTGGTTTTTTTTTTGTTTGTTTGTTTCGTTCGCACATGTTTAAACTCTGCACATTTAGGCTGAGCTCTTCTTTCAAACAGAAAACACTTCATTCCACCTCGCGACGTCATCACGTGGCGATACGGGAAGTGCTCCGCTGCGTTTTTAAACTCCGCACACGTTCACTAGAATCACTTGGATCGTTTCAGTCCTGGAGTCGCCGATCTCGACTAAACTAAAGGGAAAAGGAGTTGGAAACTACCACTTCATGACATCACAAGGTGGAACAGTGTATTCTGAGCTTTGGAGATGTGAACAGATTTAGTTTATTTATCTATTTGATTGGGACAGAGTATGTTAATGAACAAACATGACACAACATGAATGTAAACACACCAGATTGTCGCCTAAAGATCATTTCCATCCACTGTCCCAAAGGGCTGAGGTCACGGCCGAACAGTTAAATATTGCACATTCCACTCATTGAACAATTCACATTATTGCACATTCCAAAATATTGCACACTCCTTGAACCGTCACCTCATCGTGGTGGAGGGTTTAAGCCCAAATGATCCTGGGAGTTCTGTTGTCGGGAGCTTCATGTCCCTGGTCACTCAAGGCAAACAGGATCTTGGGGGACGGGTCAGACGAAGAACGGTTCAGAAGCCCTTTATGACAAGTGTACCAGCGAGGCCAGGTACATCGCCCAGACTGGCATCACCAAGGCCCCACCCTGGAGCCAGGCCTGGGGTGGGTGCTCGACGGCGAGCGCCTGGTGGCCGGGTCTTCCCCCACGGGGCCCGGCCGGGCTCAGCCCGAAGGAGCGACGTGGGGCCGTCCTCACGTGGGCCCACCACCTGCGAGAGGATCCATAGGGGGCCGGTGCAGAGGGATTCGGGCGGCAGTCAAAGGCGGGGGCCTCGACGACCAGATCTCCGGACATGGAGACTGTGGCTCTGGGGACATGGAATGTCACATCGCTGGGGGGGAAGGAGCCTGAGTTTGTGCGGGAGGTTGAGCGTTACCGACTAGCGGTGTTTTGTTATTGGACTTCTGTGCTAGTCACAGTTTGTCCATAACAAACACCATGTTCGAGCACAAGGTCCATAAGTGCACGTGGCACCAGGACACCCTCGGCCGGAGGTCGATGATCGACTTTGTAGTCGTGTCATCTGATCTCCGGCCGCGTGTCTTGGACACTCGGGTGAAGAGAGGGGCTGAGCTGTCAACTGATCACCACCTGGTTGTGGGTTGGGTTCGCTGGCGGAGGAGGAAGCCGGAAAGACCTGGCAGGCCCAAGCGTGTAGTGAGGGTCTGTTGGGAATGTCTGGCGGAGCCTCTGTCAGAGGGATTTTCAACTCGCACCTTCGGGAGGACTTCTCCCGGATTCCTGGGGAGGCTGGAGATATGGAGTCCGAGTGGGCTTTATTCTCGGCCTCTATTGTCGATGCAGCTGCTCGGAGCTGTGGGCGTAAGGTCTGTGGTGCCTGTCGCGGCGGCAACCCCAGAACCCGGTGGTGGACACCGGAAGTAAGGGATGCTGTCAGGATGAAGAAGGAGTTCTATCGGGTCTTGTTGGCTCGGGGGACTCCTGAGGCAGCTGACGGGTACTGGCCAAGCGTGCTGCAGCCCGTGTGGTCGCAGAGGCAAAAACTCGGAGCTGGGAGGAGTTTGGGGAGGCCATGGAGAAGGACTATCGGACGGCCTCAAAGAAATTCTGGCAAGAAGCAGTTCTTCACCAACACTGTTTACAGTGCGGGGGGAGAGCTGCTGACCTCGACTGGGGACGTTGTCTGGTGCTGGAAGGAAAACTTTGAGGATCTCCTCAATCCCACCATCATGTCTTCCAAGGAGGAGGCCGAGGTTGGAGACTCGGAGGTGGACTCCTCCATCACCCTGGCTGAAGTCACTGAGGTGGTTAAAGCTCCTTGGTGGCTCCCGGGGTGGAGGAGATCCGTCCTGAGGATCTTAAGTCTCTGGATGTTGTGGGTCTTGGCTGACACGCCTCTTCAACATCGCGTGGCGGTCGGGGACAGAACCTCTGGACTAACAGACCGGGGTGGTGGTCCCTTTGTATAAGAAGGGGGACCAGAGGGTGTGTTCCAACTCCAGGGGAATCACACTCCTCAGCCTCCCCGGTTATTGCACACTCCACTCATTGCACAGTTCACATTATTTTACAGTTTGGTCACATTCAGCACATGCAAATCGATTAAAATCGCGATGTCACGTGAGACATGTTTGGTTTAACTTTTCGTTTAAGCTTTAAAAGAGCTGAACTTAGAACACTTCCTCAGTGTTTATTTGGCTAATTTCCATCCGCTGTTCCTAGACAGACTGATGTGATCATAAAAGAAATACACACAGTCAAAACAAAACACCCAGACACACAATACAACAATACAAACAGACAAACACAAAGAGCTGGACAGTCACAAGAGCAGACACAGGTCAACTGTAGAACTCTGTGTCAGGTTCTACAGATTCACCTTGGACAGATGTTAATAAAGATTTAATCAAACGTGTGAATGAAACAAAACACGACTCAGGTCCATTTGTGACTCGGAAACCTCAGGGCCAGACTTGCAGTTCACACGAGTCAGTTTAATTTTGGACCTAAATCTGGACCTACTTTTGGATTTTTTGTGTTTGAGTTTTGCTTGTTCTGCTGACTCACGTCTGCTGTTCCTGTATTATGTGTTAATACAATAAGATCTTTTCTCTTACGCAACGATACCTTACACCCTTGTGCGTGCGAGTGTGTGTGTGCGAGTGTGTGTGTGCGAGTGTGTGCGTGCGAGTGTGTGTGTGTGTGCGTGCGAGTGTGTGCGTGCGAGTGTGTGTGTGCGAGTGTGTGTGTGTGTAGATCCATACACACTCGCATCAAAGTGACCTACCTTCTTTATGAGTGAACAATAGCTCTTGTCTTATTGTCTCAGTGACACAGTTTAAAGTTCTGGGTTCAAATCGATCAGACTTTAATTCTCAGAATTCCTTTAAAACTCACTGAGGATCCTGAGGACAAAAGTGTCCACTCACAAAATGCAGATCATCACAGCTCAGTATTTCATTTTCATACTTTTTTTCAACTTAATACAAAGTTGGATCCCTGCTCTGATCAAAAATATAATTTATAATTAAAGCTGCACGGCGATGGTGGCCCTCGCCCCGGCGTGTACTTTTATTAAATTTCATATTTCATTACATTCAGGCCTGGATCACACAATTGTGATTTGAATTTGAGTTTTCTAGGCCAATGCCTGTGGCCGTGACAGGTCACCGAAGAAACAGGAAATGAAGGTGTTTTTCGCCGGCGTGCTACGGACGAACCGTAAGGAGTATCAAAAAAATTTTGAAAATTTCTGTGAGTTTATGTCTGTAGATGTGACATGTCAAATTTGAGCTCATTTGGAGCAAACCCCGGGGACTTGAACAATTTTGTAGACACCCAAGTCAAAACGGCGGCGAATTTTTGATCCAATATGGCCGACTTCCTGTTCATCATAGGGGTGCACAATGATTGGCTTTTTTGTTTGTCTCCATGAGTTCTATCACTGTTCTGAATTTCGTGACCCTATGCCAAAATTTGTGTCTGAGCCTCCAATTCATTTCAAAATTTTGAAATTTCAAGGGGGGCGCTGTTGAGTGGGGGGGGGCTTTGGGCATTGTCACGATGCCCATTTTATCACATTTTTTGACGGACCGGTCGATCTGAACCCTGGTTTGGGGACTTTTCGTCGACGTTCAGGGGTTCAAAATCACGATCGTTTGCAAAGAAAAATATTAATAGAGCGTAAGAAACCAGCGAAGAACAATGGCCAGTAACAAAGTAACTGGCTCGGGCCAATAATAATTAAAAAAAAAAGATCTTACTCCGTTAACTGCCCGTTTGAAAACATAAACTCTAAAACGAGATATTTTCCAGAAAACAGAAGTCGGGATAATGGGAACATGTTTCTGTTCAAATGAGCCTCGGCTCGTTTTGCTCCTCCACCCGCGAACTTTTAACACACGGAGGAAATCAGGAAAAGAAAATTATTATGTTGGAACTGATCAAACTTGAAGCTTCCTCTGACACTTAAAACTGTTCACTTTTATCCCCCGACTTCTGATTTCTGGAAAATATCTCAGTGTTGGTTTCAGTTTAGTCACGTTTTCAAATGGGCAATTAAAGGGTTAAAATCTGGATGATTTTTTATAAATTTTACATTTTTGGTTAGAGCAGGGATCAATTTAGTCAACAAAAGTATTTTTTAAAAAAGTATGTTGATTTCACAGCAGTTTCACATTTACTCACATTACACTGATTAAACTTTGACAAGAGTTTGGACTTTCACAAAATGTGTTTTCAGCATGAAGTGAAATGATGGGACGGACGGATGGATGGATGGACGGATGGATGGACGGATGGATAGGATGGACGGATGGACGGATGGATGGATGGACGGATGGATGGACAGATGGACGGATGGACGGATGGATGGACGATGGACGATGGACGGATGGACGATGGATGATGGACGGATGGATGATGGATGGACGGATGGATGGACGATGGATAGATGGACGGATGGACGGATGGATAGATGGATAGATGGATGGATGATCGACGATGGACGGATGGATAGATGGACGGATGGATGGACGGATGGATAGAAGGACGGATGGATAGATGGACGGATGGACGGATGGATAGATGGATAGATGGACGGATGGATAGATGGAGATGGACGGTGGATGATGGACAGATGGACGGATGGATAGATGGACGGATGGATAGATGGATAGATGGACGGATGGACGGATGGATAGATCGACGGATGGAGATGGGATGGGATGATAGATGGCGGATGGATAGATGGATGGATAGATGGACGGATGGATAGATGGACGGATGGATGGATGGACGGATGGTAGATGGAGATGGACGGATGGATAGATGGACGGATGGACGGATGGACGGATGGATGGATAGATGGACGGATGGACGGATGGATAGATGGACGGATGGATAGATGGACGGATGGATAGATGGACGGATGGACGGATGGATAGATGGATGGATGGGTAGATGGAGGATGGACGGATGGAGATGGATGGATGGATAGATGGACGGATGGACGGATGGATAGATGGATAGATGGATAGATGGATAGATGGATAGATGGACGGATGGACGGATGGATAGATGGATAGATGGACGGATGGATAGGATGGACGGATGGACGGATGGATAGATGGATAGATGGACGGATGGACGGATGGATGGATGGATAGATGGACGGATGGACGGATGGAAAGGTGGACGGATGGATAGATGGACGGATGGATGGATGGACGGATGGACGGATGGATAGATGGACGGATGGATAGATGGACGGATGATGGACGGATGGATAGATGGACGGATGGATAGATGGACGGATGGATGGATGGATAGATGGATAGATGGATGGACGGATGGATAGATGGATAGATGGAGATGGATAGATGGATAGATGGATAGATGGGTGGGTGGATGAGTGGGTGGACGAGTGGGTGGATGAAGTAAAATAATACTTGGACAAAACGCCTGAATGGACCAAACTGAACCTGAGGTCAGGTTTACTTTTATTAGTGACTGTGGTTAAATCCAGTCTCCAGGAAATGAATGCAAGTCCCTGCAATGTCGTCGTGTATCCATGGCAACACAACATGACCGCGTGCGTGTACTGACTGACGCGCACATGTTCACGTGCACGGAGACAGCGGCCTCATTCTTCAAGACCTGAGGCCACTTGACCTGGGGTCACCTGGACCCGGCGTTGAGCCTGGACCAGAACCCCACGACCCAGTCTCATCACTGCACGTGCACACCTCAGGTGTCACGGTGGATGAGTGTTTAGCACTCATGCCTCACAGCAAGAAGGTTCTGGGTTGGATCCCCGGGTCGCTCGGGTCTTTCTGTGTGGAGTTTACATGTTTCTCCTCGTGTCTGGATGAGTTTCCTCCGGTTTCCCCCATCAACACAAAACCTGCTCCAGGTCCATGAACAGTTGAGAGTCCAGGTCAGTTAAATACAATTAATTCAATCATTGTGTCCTTGGGCAAGACACTTCACCCACATTGCCTCGTATGAAAGTGGTGTGTGTGTGAGTGATGGTGGTGGTCGCAGGGACTGATGGCGCAGAGTGTCATGGCAGCCGCGCTCTGTCAGTCTGCCCCAGGGCAGCTGTGGCTACAACAGTAGTTTACATCAGCAGGTGTAGAGTGAATGAATAATGTTCTGTAAAGTGTCTCTGGGGACAAACATGTCTGTGAAAAGTGCTGTATAAATAAAGACTGACTGACTCATCACTGCACGTGCACACTTATTAATCACGCTCCTTGATCTCTTGTGTAAACCCGCAGTTCACACCCCATGAGCGGCTCCTTACAGATCGATACTCGCAGAGCACAGATCGATACGCGCAGAGCACAGATCGATACGCGCAGAGCACAGATCGATACGTGCAGATCGATACTCGGCGGAAGTGTCGCTTTGATCATGTCCTCGTGACGCCTTTGTCCTCGCGCGGGCCTCATAAGTATCACGTTTGCTTCATGTCGCGCAGTTTCACGCGTGTTTCAGTCGTGTCCGCGGCGCAGGTCACTCTGGTCAGGGCTTCGGTCTCAGTGACGCGCCGGGAGCCCCTCTGAGCGTGTGGACGCAGCGGGACGTGCACTTCTCGGGACTTTGCGGGTGTTTCACGGAGTTATGTTGCTTGAAGTTTCACAAAAAGCTTTTGTTGGTTTGTTCAGTGAAACTCGACTCTTTCTGTTGGAGAGGCTTTAGCGCGCGCGCGGCGGGCGGAGGAGGACCTGAGCTCCGCGCGCCTCCAGAGCCTCTGATACTCTGGGATTACTCCGCTCGGTCTTTACTCTTCTCTTACTTTTCTCTTACTCTTTTTGTGGGACCGGGCCGTGCGCCGTGGCCGCGCTCGGGGCGCTTTGGGTGACTGGGTGCGTCTTTGCGCGCGTGTGGGCAGTGAATGGTTGGCACGCGGGCGCAGAGACTTCCCTGAAATATCGGTCTGTTGGAGGAGACGTGAAACCGATCCGCCGTGAGTCAGCTGCTCCGGGGTGAAGGTGCGCGAGGCGGCCGCGGGTCCGAGTCCGGACATCGAAAGAATGCGCGTGAACTGAGCCGCCGCGCGCGGATTAAATGAGCGTGTTTGGCACCGGCCTCGCGCGCAGAGGTGACACACTTGCCCGCCCCTCCGCGCACTTATAGCGGCCGCTCCGTTTCGTCGTGGCCGTTTAAAGCGCTCAGGATGGCGGAGCACAGCGGGCTGGACATCATGTGTCCGAACAACTACTGCCACAGCTCCGCGTCCTCCTCCAGCTCCGAGCGCGACAAGAGAATGTTCTCCCGGATCAAAACAAGCCTGTCCGCGGACTACCCCAAGAAGAACGCGGAGATCCTGAGCGGTCAGTACGGCACCAACCTGCTGCTCATCGGGGCCGCGCTCATGCTCGCCATCGCCAACCACGGCCCCGCGGTGCGCGAGGAGCACCTGCTCGAATTCCTCAGCGTCGTCATGGGGCTGCAGCTCGCGTGGATGATGTGGTACATCCTCGTGCGGGTCCGGCACAACAGTGCGCACACGGAGAAGGACAAACACGTTACGACCTGTTGGATCCGAGGTGGGTCATTCTTGGTATGGACACTTTTACGCACATTTTATGCACAGGGTCAGTCTGGTTATGAAGACTATTAGACACAAGGTTAGTTTGGGTATGGATACGTTTATGCAAACTTTACGCACAGGGTCAGTTTGGATATGGAGACCTTTACGCAAACTTTACGCACAGGGTAAGTTTGAGCATGGAGACTTTTATGCAAACTTTACGCACAGGGTCATTTTGGGTATAGAGACCTTTATACAGACTTTACGTACAGCGTCAGTTTGGGTATGGAGACCTTTGTGCAAACTTTACGCACAGGGTCAGTTTGGGTATGGAGACTTTTACGCACACGGTTGGTCTGGGTATGGAGATCTTTATGCAAACTTTACGCACAGGGTCAGTCTGGATATGGACACTTTTACGCACAGGGTCAGTCTGGGTATGGAGACTTTTAGTCACAGGGTCAGTCTGGGTAGTCAGGAGACCATTACGCACACTGTAGGCACACGTTCCCTCCCCCGAGGTTAAAACACGGCTACGTGTTTTTGATTTATGTCAACATGTCATGAGAGTGTGGGGCGGTCAGGGTCTAGTGGGTAAGGATGCTTTGGTGCGGAGGGGCGGGTGGGTTGGACACTGCTCCTGTTGTTGACCGTGTGACCTCTCTCTCTCTCTCTCTCTCTCTCTCTCTCTCTCACACACACACACACGCACGCTCTCTCTCTCTCTCTCTGTCTCATGTCTCTCTCTCTCTCGCAGGTGGTCTGACGCTCCTCGCGCTGCTCTCCCTCGTGATGGACGCGTTCCGTATCGGTTATTACGTGGGCTATCACGCATGCGTGTCGGCGGTGCTCGGGGTGTACCCGGTGCTCCACGCAGCGCACACTATTGCTCAGGTGAGTTTCAGATAATCTTTCACGGACTGAGGCTGCGTAGGAGAAAGCGCTCTTTGTCCGCGCACGTAATTCTACATAATCCGCTCTTTGTTTGTGTTTTTGGGCTGTAACGACACGCGCACGCGCACGCACTCACCTGCTGCCGCCTCAATAATTCATGATCAGTGACGTCATCACGTCTGTCTGTTTCTTTGGCGCAGGTGCATTTCCTGTGGTTCCACATTAAAGACGTCATCAAGTCGTTCGAGACGTTTGAAAGGTGCGTGTGAAAAAAAGTACACACGTGTGTGTCTGTGTGTGTCCGTGTGTGTGTGTATCTGTGTGTGTGTGTGTGTGTCTGTGTGTGTGTGTGTCTGTCTGTGTGTGTGTGTGTGTGTCTGTCTGTGTGTGTGTGTCTGTGTGTGTGTCTGTGTGTGTGTCGGTGTGTGTGTCTGTGTGTGTGTCTGTGTGTGTGTGTCTGTGTGTCTGTGTGTCTGTGTGTGTGTGTGTGTGTCTGTGTGTGTGTGTGTCTGTGTGTGTGTGTCTGTGTGTGTGTGTGTGTGTGTGTGTGTCTGTGTGTGTGTGTGTGTGTGTCTGTGTGTGTGTGTGTCTGTGTGTGTGTGTGTGTGTGTGTGTGTGTCTGTGTCTGTGTGTGTGTCTGTGTGTCTGTGTGTGTGTCTGTGTGTGTCTGTGTGTGTGTGTGTGTCTGTGTCTGTGTGTGTGTGTCTGTCTCTGTGTGTCTGTGTCTGTGTCTCTGTGTGTGTTGGATTTTGTAATGAAATTTTATCCAAAAGGAAAACGCACAAATGTTTTTGATTATTCACTAAACCCACGAGCTCAGTGTTCCTCTGTGTCATTTCACATTTTATCTCTGTGTTTGTGTGTGTGTGTGTGTGTGTGTGTGTGTGTGTGTGTGTGTGTGTTTGCGGCGCAGGTTCGGGGTGATCCACGCCGTCTTCACGAACCTCCTGCTCTGGTGCAGTGGAGTCATGTCCGAGGCCGAACACTTCCTGGAAAATCACATCAGGAGAAACAACGAGGAAAACCCCGGGAACTTCAGCACAGGTGAGAGAGAGAGAGAGTCCCCACAAGTCACCACGAGACGGAGAGAGAGAGAGAGAGTCCCCACAAGTCACCACGAGACGGAGAGAGAGAGAGTCCCCACAAGTCCCCACAAGATGGAGAGAGAGAGAGCGAGTCCCCACAAGTCACCACGAGACGGAGAGAGAGAGAGAGAGGGAGGGAGGGAGGGATGGAGAGGAGAGAGAGAGAGAGTCCCCACAAGTCACCACCAGACGGAGAGATGGAGAGATGGACAGACGGAGAGATGGAGAGAGAGAGAGAGAGAGAGAAAGAGTCCCCACAAGTCACCACCAGACGGAGAGATGGAGAGATGGACAGACGGAGAGACGGAGAGAGAGAGAGAGAGAGAGAGAGAAAGAGTCCCCACAAGTCACCACCAGACGGAGAGATGGAGAGATGGAGGGAGGGAGAGAGAGACGGAAAGAGAGACGGAGAGATGAAGAGAGGGAGAGAGAGAGACGGAGAGACAGAGAGAGTCCCCACAAGTCACCACCAGACGGACAGATGGAGAGAGAGAGAGAGAGACGGAGGGAGAGACGGAGGGAGGGAGGGAGATAGATGGAGAGAGGAGGGAGAGAGAGGGAGAGAGAGACGGAGAGAGGGAGGGAGAGAGACAGAGGGAAGGAGAGATGGAGAGAGGGAGAGACGGAGGGAGGGAGGAGGGAGAGAAGGAGGGACTAGGGAGAGAGAGACGGAGCGACAGAGGGATGGAAGGCAAGACTTAGACAGGGAGGGGGGACGGGGGGAGGGAGAGACGGAGAAGGGAGGGAGGGACGGAGATAGAGATGGAGAGAGAGACGGCGAGACGAAGGAGAGAGACGGAGAGAGGAAAAGACGGAGGAGGGAGGGAGAGAGATGGAGGGAGGGAAAGACGGAGGAGAGAGAGAGATGGAGAGAGGGAGAGACGGAGGAGGAAGAGAGAGAGATGGAGGGAAGGAGAGACGGAGAGAGGGAGGGAGAGACGGAGAAGGGAGGGAGGGACGGAGCTAGAGATGGAGAGAGAGACGGAGAGACGAAGGAGAGAGAGACGGAGAGAGGAAAAGATGGAGGAGGGAGGGAGAGAGATGGAGGGAGGGAAAGACGGAGGAGGGAGGGAGAGAAACGGAGGGAGGGAGAGACGGAGGGAGAGAAAGAGGGAGGGAGAGAGAGAGGGAGGGATGGAAGGAGGGAGAGAGAGAAGCCCACACAGGAGTGACAAACCTGCAGGTTAAACTCTGTGTGACAGAGAAAGAGAGAGAACGAGAATGTGTGTGTGTGTGTGTCTGTGTGTGTGTGTGTGTCTGTGTGTGTGTCTGTGTGTGTATGGTGTGTGTGTCTGTGTGTGTGTGTGTGTGTGTGTGTATGGTGTGTGTGTCTGTGTGTGTGTGTCTGTGTGTGTATGGTGTGTGTGTCTGTGTGTGTGTCTGTGTGTGTATGGTGTGTGTGTCTGTGTGTGTGTATGTGTGTCTGTCTGTGTGTGTCTGTGTGTGTGTCTGTGTGTGTGTGTGTGTCTGTGTGTGTGTGTGTCTCTTTAATTAAAGGGTCTGAGCCAAGTCCTCATGTTCCTCTGGATCTGGATTCGTCCTGATCTTGTTCTGCTCAGGTTCAGTTTCACAAATCTGCACTGTTCCCCCCGTGTGTGTCAGGTCCCTCCCCGTGTGTGTCAGGTCCCTCCCCGTGTGTGTCAGGTCCCTCCCCGTGTGTGTCAGGTCCCTCCCAGTGTGTGTCAGGTCCCTCCCTGTGTGTGTCAGGTCCCTCCCTGTGTGTGTCAGGTGCCTTCCCCGTGTGTGTCAGGTGCCTTCCCCCCCGTGTGTCAGGTCCCTCCTCGTGTGTGTCAGGTCCCTCCTCGTGTGTGTCAGGTCCCTCCTCGTGTATGTCAGGTCCCTCCTCGCGTGTGTCAGGTCCTCCTCGTGTGTCAGGTCCCTCCTCGTGTGTGTCAGGTCCCTCCTCGTGTGTGTCAGGTCCCTCCTCGTGTGTGTCAGGTCCCTCCCCGTGTGTGTCAGGTCCCCCCGTGTGTCAGGTCCCTCCCTGTATGTGTCAGGTCCCTCCCCGTGTGTTAGGTCCCTCCCCGTGTGTGTCAGGTCCCTCCCCGTGTATGTCAGGTCCCTCCCTGTGTGTGTCAGGTGCCTTCCCCGTGTGTGTCAGGTCCCTCCTCGTGTATGTCAGGTCCCCTCCCCGTGTGTGTCAGGTCCCTCCCTGTGTGTGTCAGGTCCCTCCCTGTGTGTGTCAGGTGCCTTCCCCGTGTGTGTCAGGTGCCTTCCCCGTGTGTCAGGTCCCTCCTCGTGTGTGTCAGGTCCCTCCTCGTGTGTGTCAGGTCCCTCCTCGCGTGTGTCAGGTCCCTCCTCGTGTGTGTCAGGTCCCTCCTCGCGTGTGTCAGGTCCCTCCTCGTGTGTGTCAGGTCCCTCGCTCTTCTTCATGTGTTGTTTCTTGTTTTTCTTCAGATTTCTCGGAGCCTGAGTGTAACTGCTCGACGTCGACGTGTTCGCTCTTCGCCAACAGCCTCGTTTATCTTTACCCGTTTAACATCGAGTACCACATCTTCGTGTCGGCCATGTTGTTCGTGATGTGGAAGAACATCGGTCGGACGCTGGAGCGGCGCGGCTCTCGTCTGCGCCCGCTGCCCATCAGCCGGTCCCTGAGCGTGGGTCCGGTCCTGGGGCTGTTGGCGTTGGCGAGCACCATCACGGTGCTGGTGGTTTATCTGACGCACGTGGAGATGAACGAGGAGACGCGGCGGGCGGCGGTCTCCATGTACTACATCTACGGCATCGTGATGCTGCTGAGCATGTGCGGCGCGGCGGCGGTCGGGCTGCTGATCTACCGCGTGCAGCACTGTCCCTTCGACACGTCCAAAAACCCGTCTCGACAGCTGGACACGCAGCTCCTGGTCGGCTCGTCCGTGGGCTCGTGGCTCATGTCCTGGTGCAGCGTGGTTTCCGTGGCGACCAGCAGTAGCTCCGCCCCTCACCGCTGGACCAACGGGCTTTACTCGCTGCTGATCGTTCTGGAGAAGTACGTCCAGAACCTCTTCATCATCGAGTCTCTGTACCGTCAGGAGGAGGCGGAGCTGCCCGCCGCGCCAGAGATTTTCTCCGTCACTTCGTCTCTGGCGCCCCCTTACGGCGGCATCATAAACCGCGCCTACGAGACGCAGGAGCGCGGGATAGAGGAGGGGGAGGAGACCGCCGTGGTCTATGGCCGAAAACCCTCTCAGGTGCCGCTCCCCGTGGGCACCAACCTGCCCCCGCCCCCCCGACTCAAGAGGAAACTGCTCAAGAACATCGCGCTCTTCCTCACCATGTGCAACGTCTGTGTGAGTGTGTCAGATGCCGATTTCGGTGTTGTTCCATTTCGGTGTTGTTCTGTTTAGGTGTTGTTCCTCATCGGTGTTGTTCTGTTTTAGTGTTGTTCTGTTTCCGTGTTGTTCCTCTTCAGTGTTGTTCTGTTTCGGTGTTGTTCTGTTTCGGTGTTGTTTTGTTTCGGTGTTGTTCCTCTTTGGTGTTGTTCCGTTTCGGTGTTGTTCTGTTTCGGTGTTATTCTGTTTCGGTGTTGTTCTGTTTCGGTGTTGTTCCTCTTTAGTGTTGCTCCTCTTCAGTGTTGTTCAGTTTCCGTGTTGTTTTGTTTCAGTGTTGTTCTGTTTCGGGGTTGTACGTCTTTGGTGTTGTTGTGTTCAGGGTTGTTCCCCTTCGGTGTTGTTCTTCTTCGGTGTTGTTCTGTTTCGGTGTTGTTCTGTTTCGGTGTTGTTTTGTTTCGGTGTTGTTCCTCTTTGGTGTTGTTCCGTTTCGGTGTTGTTCTGTTTCGGTGTTATTCTTCGGTGTTGTTCTGTTTCGGTGTTGTTCCTCTTTAGTGTTGCTCCTCTTCAGTGTTGTTCAGTTTCCGTGTTGTTTTGTTTCAGTGTTGTTCTGTTTCGGGGTTGTACGTCTTTGGTGTTGTTGTGTTCAGGGTTGTTCCCCTTCGGTGTTGTTCTTCTTCGGTGTTGTTCTGTTTCGGTGTTGTTCTGTTTTGGTGTTGTTCCTCTTCGGTGTTGTTCTGTTTCTGTGTTGTTCCTCTTCGGTGTTGTTCTGTTTTGGTGTTGTTCCTCTTCGGTGTTGTTCTGTTTTGGTGTTGTTCCTCTTCAGTGTTGTTCTGTTTCGGTGTTGTTCTGTTTCGGTGTTGTTCCTCTTCAGTGTTGTTCTGTTTCTGTGTTATTCTGTTTCAGTGTTGTTCCTCTTCAGTGTTGTTCTGTTTCGGTGTTGTTCTGTTTCAGTGTTGTTCTGTTTCGGTGTTGTTCTTCTTCAGTGTTGTTCCTCCTCGGTGTTGTTCCTCTTCTGTGTTGTTCTGTTTCTGTGTTGTTCTTCTTCAGTGTTGTTCCTCCTCGGTGTTGTTCCTCTTCAGTGTTGTTCTGTTTCAGTGTTGTTCTGTTTAGGTGTTTTTCCTCTTTGGTATTGTTCTGTTTTGGTGTTGTTCCTCATCGGTGTTGTTCTGTTTTAGTGTTGTTCTGTTTCAGTGTTGTTCTTCTTTGGTGTTGTTTGGTTTCGGTGTTGTTTTGTTACAGTGTTGTTCTGTTTCGGTGTTGTTCCTCTTCGGTGTTGTTTTGTTTCGGTGTTGTTCTGTTTCGGTGTTGTTCTTTTTCGGTGTTGTTCTGTTTCGGTGTTGTTCTTTTTTGGTGTTGTTCTTTTTCGGTGTTGTTCTGTTTCGGTGTTGTTCCTCTTCAGTGTTGTTCTTCTTTGGTGTTGTTCGGTTTCGGTGTTGTTTTGTTACAGTGTTGTTCTGTTTCGGTGTTGTTCCTCTTCAGTGTTGTTCTGTTTCGGTGTTGTTCCTCTTCGGTGTTGTTTTGTTTCGGTGTTGTTCCTCTTCGGTGTTGTTCCTTTTCGGTGTTGTTCTTTTTCGGTGTTGTTCTGTTTCGGTGTTGTTCCTCTTTAGTGTTGCTCCTCTTCAGTGTTGTTCAGTTTCCGTGTTGTTTTGTTTCAGTGTTGTTCTGTTTCGGTGTTGTACGTCTTTGGTGTTGTTGTGTTCAGGGTTGTTCCCCTTCGGTGTTGTTCTGTTTCGGTGTTGTTTCGTTTCGGTGTAGTTCCTCTTCAGTGTTGTTCTGTTTCGGTGTTCTTCCTTTTCGGTGTTGTTCTGTTTCGGTGTTGTTCTTTTTCGGTGTTGTTCTGTTTCGGTGTTGTTCTTTGTCAGTGTTGTTCTGTTTCGGTGTTGTTCCTCTTCAGTGTTGTTCTGTTTTGGTGTTGTTCCTTTTTGGTGTTGTTCTGTTTCGGTGTTGTTCTTTTTCGGTGTTGTTCTGTTTCGGTGTTGTTCTTTTTCTGTGTTGTTCTTTTTCGGTGTTGTTCTGTTTCGGTGTTGTTCCTCTTTAGTGTTGCTCCTCTTCAGTGTTGTTCAGTTTCCGTGTTGTTTTGTTTCAGTGTTCTTCTGTTTCGGTGTTGTACGTCTTTGGTGTTGTTGTGTTCCGGGTTGTTCCCCTTCGGTGTTGTTCTGTTTCGGTGTTGTTCTGTTCGGTGTTGTTTCGTGTCGGTGTTGTTCCTCTTCAGTGTTGTTCCTCTTCAGTGTTGTTCTGTTTCGGTGTAGTTCCTCTTCAGTGTTGTTCCTCTTCGGTGTTGTTCCTCTTCGGTGTTGTTCTGTTTCGGTGTTGTTCTGTTTCGGTGTAGTTCCTCTTCAGTGTTGTTCCTCTTCGGTGTTGTTCCTCTTCGGTGTTGTTCTGTTTCGGTGTAAACTGGACTTGACTCTGTCTTGTGTTGCAGTTGTGGATCTTGCCGGCGTTCGGCTGCCGGCCTCAGTACGATAACGGTCTGGAGGAGGAGACGTTTGGATTTTCCATCTGGACGACGGTTTTAAACTTCGCCATTCCCCTGAACCTGTTTTACCGGATGCACGCCGTCGCCTCGCTCTTCGAAGTCTTCCTCCGCGTCTGACCGTGCACGTGAACCAGACCGTGCACGTGAACTGTGAACAGGACCGTGCACGTGAGACTGTGAGCGTGCACGTGACCAGGAGCATGCACGAGACTGTAAGCGTGCACGTGACCAGGAGCGTACACGAAACTGAGCGTGCACGTGACTAGGAGGGTGCATGAGACTGTAAGCGTGCACAAGACCAGGAGCGTGCACGAGACCAGGAGCATGCAGGAGACTATGTCTGTGCACGTGAACTGTTAACGAGACTGTGCACGTGACCTGAGGCGGCGTGCACGTGACCTGAGGCGGCATGCACGTGACCTGCGGCGGCGTGCACGTGACCTGAGGCGGCGTGCACGTGACCTGAGGCGGCATGCACGTGAGGGGAGGAGGGGCTGAGGTGGAGTCTCTCCTCTCTCCTCCTCACAGCGAGAGGGTCCCTGGTTCGACTCCCTGGTCTGTCCATGTGTCCGTGTGGAGTTTACTTGTGTCTGGGTCGAGTCTAGACCAAGACTAAGACCAAGACCAGGATCAAGACCTGGATCAAGACCTGGATCAAGACCTGGATCAGGATCCCACTGCTCCAGACTGAGGTCATGTGTCGCCCAGAGACGCTGAGAAAGAATTTATTTAAAGGAGCAAGAAAATGAACTGAACCTCTGCTGCTCTTCTCACCTCCTCCTCCTCCTCCTCCTCCTCCTCCTCTCCTCCTCTCCTCCTCCTCCTCCTCCTCCTCCTCTCCTCCTCCTCTCCTCCTCCTCCTCCTCCTCCTCTCTCCTCCTCCTCCTCTCTCCCTCCTCCTCTCCTCCTCTCCTCCTCCTCCTCCTCCTCCTCCTCTCCTCCTCCTCTCCTCCTCTCCTCCTCTCTCCTCCTCCTCCTCCTCTCCTCCTCTCCTCTCTCTCCTCCTCCTCCTCCTCCTCCTCCTCTCTCTCCTCCTCCTCCTCCTCCTCCTCTCCTCCTCTCCTCCTCCTCTCTCCTCTCTCTCCTCCTCCTCCTCCTCTCTCCTCCTCCTCCTCCTCTCTCTCTCTCCTCTCCTCCTCCTCCTCCTCCTCCTCCTCTCCTCCTCCTCCTCTCCTCCTCTCCTCCTCCTCCTCCTCCTCCTCCTCCTCCTCCTCCTCCTCTCTCCTCTCCTCCTCTCCTCCTCCTCCTCTCTCCTCCTCCTCCTCCTCCTCTCCTCCTCTCCTCCTCCTCTCCTCCTCCTCCTCCTCCTCCTCCTCTCTCCTCCTCCTCTCCTCCTCTCCTCCTCCTCTCCTCCTCTCCTCCTCCTCCTCTCCTCCTCCTCCTCCTCTCTCCTCCTCTCTCGTCCTGATTGGCTTTGAGGTTTGTGCAGATGAGGATTTGGGGAGTTACATTTATTTAAATTTTCTCCTTTCAGAGTTAAAAAATAAATAAATAAATAAAAAATACTGCTGCTTTAAAAAGATCCAAACAGATCTAAGCTCCTGTTCCCCCAGTGGTGCCACGAGGTCGTCTTCAGTCCTGGTTCAGTCCTGGTTCAGTCCTGGTTTAGTCCTGGTTCAGTTTAAATGGGGGTAAATATAAAGTTCTCATTCAAGTGGTTGATGTTTTCTATGGTGCCATAATTCTAAAATCAGAACTGGTCCAACCTCATGTCCTGGTCCTGGTCCGGTCCTGGTCCTGGTCCAGTCCTGGTCCTGGTCCGGTCCTGGTCCTGGTCCTGGTCCTGGTCCGGTCCTGGTCCTGGTCCGGTCCTGGTCCGGTCCTGGTCCTGGTCCAGTCCTGGTTAAATCTT